TGAGGCGGTTTGAGTCGCTGATAAAGAAACAGACCTCCGCCTTTTTCTTTTGCTGTGGAGCAAAATGTCTCAGAAAAAAACCTTCAGCGTGGCTTCTCTGCTGTTCGCTTTCAAAATGAAAGAACAAAAAATATTTCAACCAATTTCTACAGTCATTGATTAAAAGCCATATATTCTAATCAATTCAGTGTTAAATGAAACATTTGTTAATTTTGTAATATTTGTGAACCAGATGATTTATTTCTTAATAAATTAATAACAATTATTTCTTTTCTTTCTCTCCCCCCCCTTTCTTTTTTTTTTTTTTTTTTTTTTTTTTTTTAGCAATATCAAAGTTAATTTGGAGATCTTTGAGGTGAAAGTCAGTAACAAAAACTCGCCTCGGTTGTATAAAGTTGGATCCAACTGTTGTCCATGGGATTTATGGTTTCCCTTCCTAATCCTTAAAGGCTCGCAGGTGAAAGTGATCAACACAGGTGAATACAACACTCAAACTAACGCCTCAGCACCACGAGGAGAAGAAAGCAACCTGAATGCGAAGAAGAAAGAAGAAGAAAGAGGCAAACAGCTTATTTTTACAGCTATATAACACTGCTGTTAGTGTGAGCGTAACATCAGGTACCAATTCAATAACGTCATAATCAGGAAAATCCTCAGGAACATGTAAAAAGAAAGAAGAGTTTATCAGAGGCGCTGTTTGAGGTTTTACTGCTTTATTGCTGCAGTCAAAACAATCCTCGCTGATATTGTATTTATATTATTAACATGACAATTCATGTTTTATATGTGCAATGAAGCAGAACAGCGACGCAACACGGCTTTATTTTGAAAAGCACGGAATCGAGTTTCCTTAGAAAGTGAAAGTAACTCTAAAGTAGGCCTCGGTCCTATTGTCCCGCACTTATTGTAAAATGGTTTGTCTGTAGCCACATAACGTCTGTATTAAGAACTAAATTAGTCTTAAAGAATAAAAGCGACAATTTGACAGCAACCCCGAGAACCCCCCCCCCCCCCCCCCACACACACACACTGGCTCTACGGGGAGGTGTCTGACCGATCAGAGCAGTTTCCACATAGGAAAGAAATGTGCTCCGTGTCTTTCCCATGTGCTTTCTTTGGAAAGAATGTGTATGTAAATAGACTTATTTATGTAAATAAATGTTTATTTTGACACACAGTAGGCTATAAACGTAAATATGTGCATTTCAGTTCATCCACAGAGTGACTGCAGTGATTGTTCAGGGTGAATTTGATATTTACAATAAGAAAAGAATAGATGGTTTTTCTGGTTTTCTATTCACACATGAAAGAACAAAGCCTCCTTGCCTGCGTCCTGTCGTGTGTTCCTGTAAATGTGTGTGAATGTGTGGATGACTGAATGTGTAAAGCGCTTTGGGGTCCTTAGGGACTAGTAAAGCGCTATACAAATACAGGCCACAGGCCATTTACAAAATGTGTGAAGTTGTCCCTGATGCAGTGGGATTATAAATTATTACAATTAATTTAAACACATTCAGAATGGATAAGTGGCATAATGACTTCATGCACTTCATGTTACTTGTTACCAATGAAACAGGCAGCTGATAGACAGATGATGCTGTCAGACCTTCGAAAATCCTCGTGAATGCTGAACTGTTGAACCAACACATATGATACAGTATACTGTATCATTTATGCTGTTTGCCTGTTATGATCGCTGGTTTAGGTTCCAGGGTTTTTGATTTGTCTTAGAGGTTTTGAATTTATTTTATTTGGACTCCTTTTCCTTTGAAAGGGTAAATGGCCTGATTCCTATATAGCACTTTCCTCCTCTCCCAGAGAACTTAAAACACTTTACACAATGTGCCTCATTCACAGCCTCTTTCTATGCTCAAGTGCTTTTCATCTAACATTCACACACATTCAGACTGTGATGGGGTGCTGCTTGGGGTTAGTACCTCTTTGGCATACAGACTGGAGCAGCCAGGTATTGAACCACCAACCCTTTGTTTAGTAGATGACATGCTGTTCCTCCTCAGCTTCACCTATAGTGCGGTGTAGCTGTGACTCATGCAAAATTGCTGTAGAAGAATCAGAGTGTAGAGGATGGGACTGAGGACGCAACCCTGTAGGACGCCAGTGTTTGTAATAATGCTGGCTGAAGTCCTGTTGCTTATCCTGACGGACCGACAAACTCCTCATACCCTCATGTATGAGTCTTTGTTTTCCAGATGGGAGAGGGAATAGTGAAGGGCAGCAGTGACCATGGGGCCAAATCAGCTTCATATCATTCAAATCCTCAGATAAATTATTTCCTTGGGAACAAAACATATCGTGATTCTAATTGATCGGGTTAATTGATCCCGATTATGGGCGTCTCATTGAAGGCCTGGTTTCCAGATTTGGGTTGTTTCTGGTCGAACTGAAGGATTTCTTGTATCTCCAGTGAAAGTCACAGTGTTGGGCAGACGTATCTGTACATATGTGAAAAAAGTGGCTGAGCTTTCTGCCGTCTGTCTTTGTGGTGCATTCAGGGTCATGCATTCAGGGTTGTTCCCTGAATGCACCACAGGTATGTGCAGGTACACATACTAACTGTGAATGTCCCAAACATGAATGATTGTGAACTCTCAAAATAAACTTCTTTGTGTTTTTATTTGAGTCACAAAAGCGGGCAGGTGGTGCCCTCTTGTGGTCACATTTGTGCTTTACACAAGTAAAATTGAATTGAATTGAATCGTCTGCAGTGGAAACAGCAGATGGCATTAATTATATCTTTTCTGAGTTAATTTCACTGAGAATAATCAGACCCCAGAATATGACTTTAGCACCACAGTCATGGAGCCTGAGTTGAAAGTTAAGTAATTCTAGACCCTAAAAATCTAATTGAAGCTATTTGTTTGAAGTTTATTGTGTTTAACCAAAGGTTTCTACGTGCTTTAAAGAAATGAATCCCCAACATCTTATATTAATTTGTCTTTAGGAAGGTGACACGCACTGTTGGTGTAAGTCGTCTTTCATTTTCTTGGCTGAAGCAGGAACACCTTCACTGTGGGGAAAAAGAAAGAATAGTTTATTGTTATTGTACTTATAAGTTATTTTATTTGACTTTGTTTTGTGTTTTTCATTGACTTTACCCAGCATTTCATTATATGAGACACTGCTTGTGTACTTACAGGCTTTTGTTAATATTTGTTTAGTTTTATTATTATTATTTAGTCTTTTCATTCTAAGCAGCTCAGCATGTTTAAATGATTTTCTTGCTTATTTTACATTTTATTCACAGCTGAAGCATTTTGAGCTGCACTAAAGTAAGTTTCTGTTGTAGTGAAATTAAAAAGTCACAAACAAATTTTATGTGAAATACTTTGGCTGGTATTAAACAGTGTGACGCATTAAACTGCTTCATCAGTGTCGACTCGCTGAATGAGAAGAACTGCTGCTGGGAGACATTCAAAACTGTTGATTCACTGAGAAAAGGAGCTGCCGGTGATCTCAGACTGTTTTGCTGGGTTTGATTAACCTTCCGGTGAAAACGTGTCCTTCGTTATGTGTTGACTGTCACTGTGGTGCCAAACCTTCAACCTCAATCATCAAACCTGGAATACGCTGTATGAATATTTCACACCAGATATGATCTTTATATTTTACGTTTCTGCATTTTTAGGAGGAGTTCAGAAGTGTGTGCAGGTTTGCTCAGCCTTTTCATTTATATAGAAATGATACATTTATGTCTCTTAAATGTTGAGTTCACGGCTCACTTCACACACACAAGTTCAGGGGTAAAGAGGAAGAGGAGGAAGCGAGGAGGAGGAGCCTGAATAAAAACGATTCCCTCTTAATCATTTTTATTGTCTGGACATTTTGAAATGCTGTTTTATTTCATGATGATGCCATTTTTATTAACAGCATTACTGGAATTTTCCTGTATGGTCCCTTTGCTGTATTTTCCATTTTTAGGGAATTGCTGTAATATCTCTTAAGGTATTTCTACTGCAGTCTCATTTACTGTAGTTTTACTGCAATGTCTGTAACCAGAGTGTAACAACACTTTTAGTGTATTTTCCTTTATTTTTGCTTAAATTAGTTTTGTTGTTTACAGTACTGTTTATTAATTTAAACCCGTAGAAGCATTCTGATTGCAGTGCAGCACTTTAAGCTAAAACTTAACATGAAAATGAGATACACATTTGTCAGATTTGTCCTTAAAATTTACTTTTATTTGTAGAAAATTGATTTGAAATGAATGAAAGTACAACATTTGTTTTTAAATGCAGACTGATTTTCTAAAACACTGAATGTTGCTACTTGTGGACCTCATTAAAAATGCATTGAATCATTTTGATATATTACACCAAACCCGCCATTACTTTGACAACCTATTGCATTCTTGGTCTTATATGAAGAACCTGGACTGCTGCTTTTTTCCTATTAGGCAACATAATGAGGCATAAAGCATAAGGAGGATACTTACAAGCTATAATACGTTTAATTGAATCCCTTATATTAAAAAAGTTAAATGTATTTCAGGTGTGACAGATTTGATTTTGCTCTGTTACTGTAATATTGATCTTTGATTTTTAATTAGCTGTTTAATTCTCCCTGATAAGCTCGGGAGTTCTCGGAGCTCCTCTCCGCGATTCGTTCCAGCAGGAATGGAGGAGAGTAATCTATTACACACGCTGAGGAGGTAACGAGCCCCGCATCGCTTCCACCTGACTGAGTGTGAGCGCGTCACACAGAGAGGTGAGTCCACTGTGAGTCACATCGGGGCTGAAGACCGAGGAGGCAGAGAGTTCTTCCCCTCCGAGGAGGAATCATCCGAGCCACCGCTGCTGCTGATCCCCCATCATTTATCTTTATTATTATTATTATTATTATTATTATTAGCATTTAATTCTGAGGATTTATTCACGGAACCTTTTTTCTGTTTTCTTCTTGACGCGGATCTTACAAAAAAATCAAAGGAAAGTGTTTTATTTATATATTTATTTATTTTATGTTTTATTTTTTCCTTCGAAGGATGTTCAGTGGATCAGCTGCACGGAGGACAAACGGCTTTCCTCGCGGATATTAATGCGCTCTGTCACTTTGCGTGATGGAGAACTTTACCGTGTGGAGTAATTTCACTCGAGTTCTGTCAGAGCTGGACGGGACGGAGGACGAGGACGGGGAAGAGGACGGCGGAGGGATCGGCGGACTGCGCGTCCTCGTCGCCTGCGTGCTCTTCCTGCTCATCGTGTCCACGTTGCTCGGGAACACGCTCGTGTGCGCAGCCGTGATAAAGTTCCGCCACCTGCGCTCCAAAGTCACCAACTTCTTCGTCATCTCTCTGGCCGTGTCCGACCTGTTCGTGGCCGTGCTCGTGATGCCGTGGGAGGCCATCACTGAGGTGACCAACACGTGGCTGTTCGGACGCTTTTGTGACGTCTGGATCGCCTTTGACATCATGTGCTCCACAGCGTCCATCCTCAACCTGTGCATCATCAGCGTGGACCGCTACTGGGCCATCTCCAGCCCCTTCAAGTACGAGCGGAAAATGACTCATCGCGTGGCGTTTGTCATGATAGGGGTGGCGTGGACGCTGTCCATTCTGATCTCCTTCATCCCCGTGCAGCTCAACTGGCACCGGGCCGGGGAGGAGGAGCGGGAGGTGGCGATGGAGGAGATGGCGGCGATAATGGCCGCCAGCGGAAAGAACTTCACAAACTTGAGCAGCTTCAACTCGAGCGACGTCGCCGCCCAGAGTTGTGTGGCCAACCTGAACAAGACCTACGCCATCTCCTCCTCCTTTATCAGCTTTTACATCCCAGTGGTGATCATGATCGCCACCTACACCCGGATCTACCGAATCGCTCAGACCCAGATCCGTCGGATCATGTCTTTGGAGCGGGCGGCAGAGCAGGCGCAGCACCAAGGCCACGGCGTGAACAGGAACCAGCAGCAGGTGCAGCGGCCCGGCGACGAGGCCTCGCTGAAGTCCTCGTTCAAGAAGGAAACCAAAGTCCTGAAGACGCTTTCAATCATCATGGGCGTGTTCGTGTTTTGTTGGCTGCCCTTCTTTGTCCTCAACTGCACCGTCCCCTTCTGCGACCCGCCGTGCGTCAGCGACACCACCTTCACCGTCTTCGTCTGGTTCGGCTGGGCCAACTCGTCCCTCAACCCGGTCATCTACGCGTTCAACGCAGACTTCCGCCGAGCTTTCGCCAGCATCCTGGGCTGCGGCCGAGTCTGCTCGAACAACGCGGTGGAGGCGGTGAACTTAAGCAACGAACTGGTTTCCTACCACCATGACACCACCCTCCACAAGGAGGCGCTGGTCCCCGCTCAGCCGCAGCAGCATCCCCGCAACATTAACGTCAGCTCGGACCACCTGGAGGACATGAGCGCACATTTTGACGAGGAGTCGATCATCTCCAACGGTTCTCCGAGCCACAACAGACTGCTGCTGCTTCCCGCAACCATCCAGTATGAGGAAGACCCAGAGATTTCCTTGGAAACAATCACACCGTTCACCTCAGCTCCAGGGCTGGAGAGTGATGCTCTGATACCAGGACAAGTCCACCAGGACGGATAGGACAGACACAATGTTTGGACATTCCTCCATGATGTGTGCTCTTGATTCATTTAAAGTTGTGGACTTTAGAACTTCATAATTTGGGTTATTGATCTGAAACTGGCTAAAATCACCACTGAGCACAAAGAATGTATAATCTCCACGTTCATCCTATTATAGCCCGTCACGAAGGGACAGATGGTGCTTGAAAAAACTTTGTCTTGACAAGTCTGATGGCTGATATCTGGAGCTCTGAGGTCTCTCCAGACGAATGTCCCATTAACAACTCAATAGTTGCGCCTGAACAAGTCATTAAAATTGCACTAAAACTTCCTTCTCATTTAAACTCTTTAAATGAGAGTCCAGTGACATCACCTGCTGGTTTGTAAAGTCCAGTTCTGAAGCCTCAAACTGAGCGTTTCTGACATGCTAACCAGGCGTGACGATCTGCTTTCTCACTATAACATTTTCAGCGGGGATCAACTGCTGAGACGAAAATGCCCTGTTTCACGTAGATAAATATAAAAAAAGAAAAACAGAGCTGTAATGCACTTTTTCTTAGTGCGAGGAACTGAGCACTCTGTGATTCCCAAATCACAGCAGTGTACGCACTAAGTAGATGCGCCCTAAATCATACCCCTGCTTTACTGTCCATTTAACTTTTTATGGGACCATAATTTATAAAAATAAACATTTTATGTCCAGTAAGATGTAAAACTAGGAATTGAGACCATAAACTCATCAGATAAGTTTTCACTGAAGTCATTTATCAAGTGAGAAGGGGAGCCATTTTCCCATCGTGTTAAATATGACTCAATTTCTTTTTCCCGCTGGCCTTTAGAAAGAACGCAGGTTCGAGGCCCTCCAGCGTTGGCTGGATCTATCGAGCCTGATATTAAATAACAGGCGGGAAACTCAAGCTACTCTTAAATGCCAGCATCCTAATTTATATATTTTTAACATCCTGTTTGCTGCTGTATTTTGTATTTTGTTTGTTTTTTCATGTTTTCTTTAGGTTGTTTAAATAGAAACAAATGTATGTGTGTGGAAATGTGACCTCCTGACAAAAAGCCTGTGCAAACCCAGTGCAGACACAATCGTTTAAACCCATATTTATTCACAGTAGAACACAGAAAACATATCAGATGTTTAAGCGTAGACAGTTTGAAGTCGATGGCAGCAACATGCCTCAAAACATCCATGATGGGAGCAACAAGGCTGGAGAAGCAGGCGGTGCAAAAAATAAACAGCTGGAGAAACATGTTGTACAAATCAGGTTAATTGGCAGCAGGTCAGCAACATGATTGGGCATAAAAAGAGCATCTTGATTTATAAATTGTGAAACAATTTCAGAATAATATTCATCAAAATAAAATTGTAAAAAAACTCAGAAAATATTAAATCATAAACTAGTCTGGAGAAGCATCTGTGTGCATGAGACGAGGCTGGAAACCCGGACTGGATGCCTGTGATCCGATGGCTCTTTGGCTTTGGAGTAGAAGAGTCTGAGTGCTGAGCCAGCTGAGAACATCTGGAGCATCCTGAAACCAAAAATGGGACAAAGAGGAGTCCGGACTGCTGGGCATCAGTCCAGAACCGGACAACAGTCCTCTGGAAGTCCAGCAGCTGCTGTCCTCAGCTCACAGGCAGATGTTACAGAGGAAACATGGACCAGCCCAAACTTTTAGAGACGTGTTGATACCATCAAATTCAAAACAGTCTCATATGTTCATTAAGACTCAGTTCAATCATTTGACTCGTTTTTTGTGAATAAATGGGTTTGTGACATTTGCAAATCATTGTATTCTGTTTTTATGTACATTTTCCACAGCATCCCAACTTTTTGTATACTAGGAGAGAACTGTTAGTGATGTGGAAGTGCTTTAGAGACACGTAGAGGCAACCGGTGTTTGTGTGTTAAAACAGAATTAAGGGTTGAGGTTATGAAACCTGACCCTGACTCTGACGTTCATCCATAAAATGACATTTAAAGCATCATCATAAGTGCGATGATATTTGCCATTCATCCGTAATCCGCAAGACGCACCGGTTGTTTGAGAATATGGTATTAACAGGGACTTAATGTGAAAGCAACATTTAAATATCTAAACAGTACGATGGCTACTCTGTTGCTTCGTTGAGGTTTTAAATGCACTGTAAACCATCAGAGAGACGAATAAATGCAGAAGAGGTTTAACTGAGTGAAAGTCAAAGCTGCTGTACTGAATCTTCACAGCAGAAAGAAACTTGATGGCAGTCATTGAGGATCAGGGAGGATGGTGGGGGGGCCTGACAGGTAACCTGACTCCCTCACTAACATCCTGTCTCCCCCCCCCCCCCCTACAGATACATTATGCTGTTTTCAGCTATTCTTAGAAACATGACATTTTTGACAAAAAGTAAAAAAGTAGAAATGAGATTTTTTTCCAAACAAGAAAAACAAAATACTTTTATTTTATTTTATTGATATAGCGCCCAACCACATTCGTCTCAAGTAAAGACGGTACAATGATACACAGAAAACCCAACAGTCAGAAGACAGCGAGGATGCGATGACGATACAAATACAAACGAACACGGAGCGACGGCAGAGTCTGAGTTTTCCTCCCGTTGGTCGACGCTCCTTCCTCTCTCTCTGCAGTCTACCTCTGCTCTCTCCTTTCATCTTCACTCAGTGGTGGAGTTGAAACAGAGTGGAGGCTCCAGGGGCCACTGAGGGGACGGCACTCTGAACCTCACAGGTGTGTCCTGCAGGGTCAGCTGTTCAGTGCATCATCGAGATGTTTCATGAGGGAGGAAACGAGAGCAGAGCGCTCGTTTCGGGTGTGGGCTGAGCTCAAGAGCTCTGCAGCACGTCAACACTTTTAACTGATCTCAGACCTCCCCGCAGAGTTTGAGTAATAAACTGATTGGTGTTTAGTTTAGCAGGATACAGAGGAGTCTCCAGCAGTGTAGACTCTGCTGTTTGTGGAGCAGGTGATAGAAGGAGATTGTGATTTAAGAATTTATTTCATAGGATCATCACAGCATCCCGGCATCTTTAATGAGTGCAGACTGACACCATGAAATGTTAATGAACTTTGAAATCCTGGCAGGCATAAAACAGAGAGACTGTGGCACTTGTGCTCTCTGTGTGGTGTTTTGGTGCACTTGCATGTATGCCACTTTTATTTGAAAGATACTTTAAAAACGGCCAAAGCTGCTCGATATCATTAAACCTGCTGCTGCAAAGGACTGAGATCTGGAAACTGTGGAGAAGAGGAAAAAGGTGGGGAACGAGGAACAGCTGAAACCAGTTAAGGTAGCGCCAAACAAAGTAAAATAGGAAATGCACAACGATGAAAACAATGAAAACACTAAGAAATTCAGAAAACGTTGGTCCTAAAAAAAAAAAAAAAGTGATGAGGTGGTCCTGATGTTTTTAAACAAGAAAAAGAAGAAATGGGGATTCTCAGTTCATCCGACCCCCCAAAATTAAGCTAGGTCTGAAAAAACAAAAAAACAAAACAAGAATGTAATTCATCCTGTGAAAGTACGCAGTTGGTGTGAACGGCTCCATTAACAATACTTTTTTTATTCACGAAACATTGTCACAAATAACACTCAACGATATTTCAGATGGTTGTGTGAGTAAACTGGACCAGCACGTCTGACATCATCAAGCACCATCAGTTAAATCAGCTTCCCTCTCCATCCTGATGCTTAATTGCACTGTTGCTGGCAGGTGACTGGCTGATTTGGTAAATGGTGAGCACTTGAACAGGACAATAACAAAGTGGATATATGACTGCAGTATTAGAGCACAGTGTCTGTCCAACGGTCTCACAGCAGTTTGTGAAATATTCAACATGAAATGCTTTCATTCTTGTTTCTGGACACAAATCTCCGCTCCCCACCAATGTTCCCTCTAATCTTTCATGTGTCTGAGCGAGCACACAAACTCCCTGAGCGGACACTTGGACCACTGTGAGCAACAGCAGACGTGTGCACTGTGGTCACGCCAGCGTCGAATCCATCCAAGTTACATGGTTTACTAAAATAATCAAATTACAGCATTTATGTTAGACTACATTTAATTAACTGCTTTAGCCCAGTTACAATGAAAATTTAGAAAAAAAATCTTGTTCATGACCTGTAGCATGTTAACACTATTGGAAGGAAAAATAACCTGAACTCCAATAAAGCTCTGACTTGTATGATGAGTCTGAGTCTGGGAGAGAGTCTGTAACTCTCTGTCTGCAAAATACAGTAAATAATGACCAATGCTGGGAAATTAATTATATAGTTACTTCTTCAAAAAAGTATCAAAGTTTTTTGCAGCTGTTTACCTAAAAATGCAGCCAAAGCGTTTTTTAAACAAACATTTCAAAGTATTTACAGAACAATCAGCTGCTCTGCATCAAATCTGATGCCACACAAATTATTTGTGCCGCTCCAAAAAATAATTTCTGTCCACTATGAGATGAACAACAGCCTGATACCTGCAGGCCTGACAGCAGCAGATGTATCACTGCTGTAACACCTGTAACACTCAGCAGTCGCCTCATTGTTCTGACACACACAACAAAACTATTGACAACACTACACACTAACTGCACACTAACTACACACGACTTGTGCTAAACGTCGCAAATCTCTCACATCTCAAACACGCCGTCACTCCTAAAACTTCCCCCTCCCTAAACATCTAAATGCCATGTTGCCATATCATGTTTTGATTGGTCCACATGGTACATTTTTCCACCAATAGGAAAGGCTGGAGGGGGGCTGTGTTTGTTCACAGGCGGAGTGATTTCGAGCGTTTTCCTTATAAAACGCCGTTTTTTACCGTTTCTTCCTGCAGTAAATATAAACAACGACAGTATTCAGGAAGAAAACCAAACACTGCAGATATTTTTTATCATAACTCTGGTTTTACGTGACCGATCAACACAATTTAAAAACTGGTATAAAGTCCACACTGTTTCCGTCAGTTGTTCTGTCTGTCCTGCTCACATCTCCAATGGTTGTACACGTTGTCATTAACGTGGCTTCACTCCGCATCAACCGCTTTGCTAAAACACCGGTGTCGGCACATAAGGACGCTGTCATAGCCTTTCAACCACTTTGATTAGCTGCGTATATACGAATGTGAATCCCATCATTGGCTGGACTATGGGATAAGGCGGCATCGTTCTGATCCCATACGGGAGCAGCCAGTCACTCACTGACTAACACTGCAGAACAGAATTGTTAAAGTATTCATTTTAATTTCAATTCAGGTTAGATTTTTCTTTTGTGCGCAATGCAACTTTTCTGTGCGCAGAGACCGTGCCTGCAGTGCGCAATTACGCACGCGCGCAGCTTAGAGGGAACATTGCTCCCCACAGGTTTGCATCACACTCATCTCTGCCCAGGAAGAGCAGGAAGGGTAGTGAGTGCTATGAATCATTGCATCACTTACAGCAGAAACACGCAATTCAAGCAGCTCACAGAACTGAAAGCCGTCCTAATAAAAGTGCTTTTAGAAAAACATCCTGCTTTGGTTTAAAATACAAAGACTGCCGTTCTTTCAAAGTTTCAAAGACAACAAATAATTCTTGTTGAAACACGTCCGTTTCACACTCGTTCTGACTGTGATGACAAACAGGAACAATGTGCGTCTGTGAACAAGAACTAATTGCTTTTTGCGACAGTTTCACATTTTGCTGTGAGACTGGTCGAAGTGGTCGTACTCCTCTATGATGCAGCATGCACCAATGTTTAATGGAGCCGCTCATTTACAGCGCGTAACGCAAAAGTTGATGCAACGTAAAGCAACTAATGCACACTGACCACCTTCACTCCCTAAAGGAGCTCTTCCCATGTAGTCTGTTTCATATATTTAATGAATTACTGAAGAATTTTAATGTCTGATGTACTCTTCTCTCCTTT